CGTCAAAGATTAAAAACAATGATATAACCATAAACAGTTAGAAAAACAGCCAAAAGAAAATATGAAATAGTATTACTTAAATGATCACTTTCTCCAGAGGATAAATAGGAGTACAAAAGCAAAAGAAACCAATAAAACCAGGTGAGGAACTGAACAAGTACTTGGACTACTATCCAGACATAACAAAATCTTCTAACAGCTATGAATGAAGTCTTGCATAAAAACCCATCTCACTCACTACAAAAGAGAATGAAGTCCTGCTACTTGGAATCCTATTAGTGACGCGAGACTGTAAAAACTGCACCATCCTTTATGCTTCGCCTAAGCCACAAGAGTGCTGGCGGTTGTAGACTCGCTGCATAGCAAGTAGTTGAATCAATTACAAAACATAACATTTTTGTCAGAAAATCAAATGCACTGCAAAAACTTTTTGATTAAATTCTCCTTCAAATAATATCAATAACTAAAAGATAGTGTATATATTGATCCTGGACCTAGACCATATTGGTGAGGAGGCAATAATAGATAGCAATGGCATAAAAATTTAAATTTCATTAGGAACTTGTAAAGGCCAGACTACATGATAAAGAAGTAGAATGGACCTTGATAAGGCTGTTTTAAGGTTTTCAGAATACAAAAGGTTTTAGAGTACATAACTAACCAGAGATTTGAAAATTCCTTGCATAAAAAAAAAAAAATGAAATGCAAAATATCAATTTGCCAACTCAATCAAAAACATTTGCCAGCCTCAGGCAAAAACCTTTCATATCTCAAGTGACAATTGAATAACAAAATTCCTTTTTCCAGCAGAAGTGCAATATTTGGTAACCCATTGAATGTAAAACATGCAAAACAAGCCTTCAAGAATGGAACAAACAAGCCAGGCCACTGCATAAACAGTAAACACTAATTGAAACTAGACTAGCAACATTCAAAGTTTGAAAACAACATTTACTAAATTGAAGCAACAGAAATATATAGTTCCAATCAGAGGGTATCACTATCAGCCATATAAACATAAATAGAGAATGCAATTGAAAACCCCGATCATGTTAAGTATAGAGGCTTACTATTTCCAGACAGGAGGAAGCTTCTTGGTCTTCTTGTAGTACCGGGCAAGCCTGTGAATCCTGCTCTCAACAAGGATCAGCCTAAATTTAGAGTCCTTGTCCTTCCTGTTCCTCTCCAAATGCTTGCGAATTGCAACAGCCTTCTTAATAAGGTGGTACAGATCCTCCGGGATTTCAGGGGCAAGACCTAAGATGAAATTTAAGAATCATAAGAAGGGAAGAAAAAAAAAAACCAGAATTGAATGCATCAAACATTCTAACAAAGCACAATCCTTTACCATGAGCCTTGAGGATACGCAAGATCTTGCTTCCAGTAACGCTCTTGACCTGAGCAATACCGTGAGAATCACGAAGAATAACACCAATCTGTGATGGCGTCAGACCCTTCTTTGCAAACTTACAAATGTTCTCTTCAACCTGCAAATTCACTTAGAATTTCAATCCCGCATTCGGTAGCTGAATGAAGATACAAACCAAAAAGGACAAAAGGGCTTGTAATCGAGAGTATGCACTCACATCTTGGGATGAGATCTTGAGCCAGCTTGGTGGGGTTCTCTTGTAAGGCAGAGCTGAAGCAGAAATACCCTTACTGCCACAAGGAAAACAATCAACGGCCGCCAAAGGTACATATATACGGCTACAGAGCACAGAATTATATCATTTAAAGGAATAATCGGAGAGGAGAAGTGAGGCATACCCACGACTGTGCATACGACCCATGGTGACGTCGACGGGAGGCGGAGGTCTCTCTGGCTCTGCGGCTTACCTGCTAAGGTTATCGACAACGAGGCGCAAACCCTAGCTTCAGTCTAAGTTATGTTATTTTAGGGTTTTTATATATTACAAAACAAACTCACCAGTCCGAGAGTTTTGGGCCTTTGTTGGGTTTTTCTTTTTATTTTTTATATTTTTTGTAAAAGGCCTTCTTTGGGTCTCATCAAGGGATTCAATTCTTAATGATCCACCCCAAACATGGCCGAAAATGATCTACCTAGCCCAAAAAGAAGCCCATTTCCTTAGGCTTTAAAACACCAATAATCTCCTTACACCATACATTTTTTTTTTTTTGATATGAACTCCTTGGCCCATACTTAAAGGCGGTTTACAATTAATGATTAGTGATTGCATTTAATATGTTAATTGATGAGTGTTCTTTTCAATAATTTAAAACTCTTATTTATAAGATTAGATAAAATTGTATAATATTAGTTTCAAATCAATATAATAAACAACCCTCTAATAGTTGAATTTCAGCTTGTAATAAAAGACTTTGGTTCATGAATGCCATTGTATCAAGCTATATCACATTGCTATTCAATCCTCGAGGTTAGGTAAAAAAATTGTTGTCTATGATGATTGAGTGAATTGTCAACATCTTCCAAGCATCCCAAGAAGAGGAATAAAGTACTTCAATCCCATACTCAAATTGGAAATTCCAACAAAAAGATGCAAAAGGAATCCCCTTATAAAGGATTTCGAAAAGCTAAGCTAAAGGTGCACTTCACCCCCACACCTTCGACCCCCCATATCTCTTTTTGCTCCCTATTTTCACCAATGAAAAGAATTTGGAGCACATGTAACACTGCTTCATGGGCATCACTTTTTATACACTTCTCTTTTTAGAGATATATGGAGGAAAAATGTAAAAATGTAACAGCTAAATCCTTCAAATACATATGTTTAACTCAGACTTAATATTAAATAATTGTCATATATTATTAACTTTAAACTTAAACTTTTGAGAGTTATGTACAGAGTTTAAAAGAGTTAATAGATTAGCGAGGGTCTTTACCAGCTGGATTGTTTCAAGACATTATGCTTAGCTGTCAGCTTATCTTTTCCCAAATTATATTTGCTTTTGGTAGTTTCTTGGCCCCAAAGATTCTTCATAAGCTCTTCATTTTTATCTCTTCTACCCCACTTCGGTTTGATATTGCCCCTAAAGCAGCGCATCTCTATGAATAATAATATCCAAAGACCGAGAAATTAAGAAATCCGACATAGATTATCATGTGTACGTAAGATTAACATCTACTCAACTAGTAATTAATCCCCGAACACATTTATGTTTTCTTGGTCCAGCTAGAAGCATGCATTATGCAGCATTGGACTCTCTATATATCTAACTTCATAATGGAGATCAAATATGTAAGATATGCCTCTAAACACAAATTATTATGTTCCTAACAAGTAAATTGAAACCGTATATTTAAATGCATCTGGGCTAATTAAGTTCAAGCAAAGGTTGAAGAGTGGATATTATTAAGAGGCCACACCAACACTTATGCGTGGAACCTTTGTCCATTATTTGTACATGGGCCAATTTACAAATAAAAAAATGTTTTTTGAGTATGAATTTATTAAAATATTTTTAATGAAAATTTTTTTATATTGTTTTATTATTGATACTGTAATAATTTTAATACTCAAATTGCACTTTTAGTGTGTAATTTGATTTAAAAATTATGAATATCATTTACAATTTTAAGACTTTGTGGTTAGAATTATATGGATTGAGAAGAATTAAGATATTTTAATAATTAAAATGTCATGATTATTTGTAAAATTATTTAAATACTGTTAATAAATTAGTGAAAATGTTATAGTTACAATATCACATGATATTGTAAATTTACAAAATTTGTCAATATTTAATTGATTCTTTTCATTCAGTATCCATATGTAATGTTATATTCATTTACTAATTTAATAACATATTTTACTTATTTAATATCATATCACAATTATAAATTTATAATTTCATATAGTATTGTAACTATAATATTTCCAAATAAATTAATTCCTCAAATGTCATTAAAGAATTTACAAATATTTTGACATTTTAAATATTATGAAGTTTTAATTTTTATTTTTTTCTAAAATTATATATTTTGAAAAACTATTATATAATTCAAAATGCATAATATAGATGGTTGAATTATAAGATGAATATTTTAATATTAAAAGTCATTTTTTTATCAAATTATTTTTATTTTATGGTTTAATAGAGTTTAAATTATAAAAATAAGAACTTATTTTACTTCTTACATTATTAGTCCGCAGGACTATGAAGACTGTAGACATTTATCGTTTGACCCAGTTTTTTTTTTTTTTTCTTTTCTTTTCTTTTCTTTTCTTTTCTTTTTTATGAGCTATCCTTTGACCGAGTTAGACCTTGGTCCAAGAGAAAACAAGAAATCAGTCTACAGGTAAAAACGGTCCAACCGACCAAGGTGCAACTCATTTTACTCAATAATGGTTTAATATTGTCAGATATGAAATCATGAACCGAAAAGGTTGGTCAATACATGTTGTACTTTTCAGAAAAAGGAAAAAAAAAAAAGAATAAAGGAAAGAAACAAAGAAGATGCCTTCTCCCTCTGCAAAGGACATGGAAAAGTTGGAATATGCTTGAAAGACAATTTTTTTTATATGGTTTGATTTGCATGATTAAACTATCTTCGAGTTAGTTTATATAAATTTTTTAAAATTAATTTTTTAAAATAATTTTAAAAACACATTTTCACATTAAGATAGCGGTGAGTTAAACACTAAGTTTCTCAAAAGATTGTATTGAATATGTCTTTAAAAGAAAGAAAAAAAAAAGTGAGGGGCAAAGTGGCAAACCCAGCACTAGAATCCAAGAACCATAGAAGAGAAGATAAAGATCAAATTAACACCTAAAAGAATCTGTCTTTAAGTTCAATGATTCGACTTCAAGTTTTAAGTGTTTAAGTGAGGTAATTAGAGTTTTGAATTCTACTACCGTCGTGAACTCCACCAAAAAGCAGTTTGATGGTCGCGTGCCTCATTTGAGAGAATGAAATATTCATTCGGTCTGAAAATCGAATATTCAGTTGCTAATAATTAATTCATACTAACTTTTAAAAAAAATTAACACCTAAAAAGCAGCAGACAACTGTACAATACTCTTTTTACCAAACAAAAAAAAAAAAAAACTGTACAATACTCTGTTCCCAGGGCCTCTCTTTTCTCGATGACTGTGGTAACTTGTTATAAGATAAAACACAAATGGGGTTGAAGTTAAAAATGTTTTTTGGTCTGAAGAGGGATGTGGACTACAGCCTTGTGGTTTGTTGTGCAGGGTGCAGCCCCAAATATTCGATTCTTAGGAACACTTTTTTTTTTTTTTCTTTGATGCATCTTAGATACACTCCACATATCAACAAAGGCATTTGAGTGGCCCTGTTTCCTATGTTGTGTTGCTCTCACTAATTTCAGACAAAAATGGGCTCAATGTACCATCATTTTTCATGCAAGAGCTTCTTCACAAAATCAAAAGAAGACGAATGTGTCACGAGGTGTCACAACACAA